ATATACTAACTAGTAGAAGACCTATCCGCGAATAAATGATATAAAAATTAAAGTATGGAAATAAAATATTGGGGCTACAATCATACCCACCAATCCAATTTAATCAAATCCAACAAAATGCTTTCGATTGATGATTTAAGTAAAATGCCACGATACCGAATGTATGATGTGGACAGTGCTGTGTATCATGATTAAATTAATTCCTCCATGGTACGATAAGTCATTATAGGCATACAGTAGACTTATACAGCAGTTGTTATTATTATTATCAGATCATTTCTGTACTGCGATTCAATTAATGTGTCATGTAAATATCATGCAATTCAGCTGATGCTGACATTGAATATAAAAATAAAATTGAATTTGAAAATTGAAAAAAAAAAATATTCCCTTGGTGTAGGCCTAATAGCAGTAACATTTTGAGCATGCAAATACCATATTCGTATTTATGATGATGTTCATTTCATTTCAAACACAAGTCGTTACTTTGTTTAATTTGTATCAGAGTCAACAATGCTTTACAAACGTATCCATGACTCACAACGCTCGACAAAATGTAGCATTTGTTCGTATACAGCCACAATGTTTGATTATCAAACAAAATAAAATTGCACCAAAATTATTTTACTTTACATCTGTATATAACATGTCCATCCATGGAGGGTTTATAGCTCCATTTATTTGATTTTGTTTTATAATTGTATTTGTATAAGCACCAGGGACCATACATGTCCACCAATAGGTTGTTAGTCGAACACTCTTGGAGATATTTTTAAGGGAGGTTATAATAAATTCGGCGTTTGGTTCTAAAATGAACGTAGTGTATCCAGAATAGCCAGATTGGTTTAAGAGAGAAAAGGCGGATTGTTAACGCATATATAATGTATATATGTATATATATATATATAATATATATATATATATATGTATAATTAAATTTTGGAAGTCTAAAAATGTGGACCTTTAAGTTATTTTTGGAGGGTGGCATACCCATAGAACCCCTTGGATACAAGGACGTTTAACTTTTTTTCGAACTTTTCAAAATGCACGAACATCAGTAAATTCAAGGATATCTGAGGCCTAATAGCGCCACAATGAAACTAAGAATGAACGATAAAACGGATAGTGAAAATACCAAAGCCAAATAAACCACGGAATCCCATCACCATTTTGCAGTAGATCCTCTAGGCCTACTTGGTTTCAAATATGCATTATCGCAGTACGTGGTACTGTTTCTATGACAACATATAATATTGAATAGCGTCTATTTTTACGAAGGTACCGTAAATGTAGTCTATCGACGATAACATATATAGGATGGTGATATGATGTTGATTATGATGATGATAAAAGTCATCATAATCATCATCCTCACCTACTCTCTTAATGTAAAAAAGGTGCATTTTCACTCGAAAAGAGTGACTACAGGGACCACTCCAATTTCACTCTTCCTTGAATGAAAATTCACTCATAAATGAGTGAATATTATTCTTAAAATAGTGAAAAATTACTAAAATTCACTCTGAATAGAGTGAAATCTCACTCTTCCCCCCCCACCCCCACTCCATTAAGAGTGGTCCCTGTAGGCACTTCACTCTTTTGCATTTAGAGAGTACATCCTCCTCTTTCTCCTCCTGCTCCTCACCATCTTCATCACTGTCATTACTATTATTATCATCATCTTTATTAATATTATGGCTATATAGAGGCGCAAGGAACCAATATTTCTAACCTGATTACCATTTTTTAAAGACCCGATAGAAATGTTTAATTATACCTTGAACAATCACTCACTAGATTTGATATGGGGGTCTCCGAGCTCACAAACATCATTTACGGCAGATTATTATGACTCTTTTGAGAAAAAAAAAATCCATACACAGGCCATATTGTTATAAAATTTTACACAAGCCTATTCGACGAACTGAACATACGATAAGATCTTAAGTTACTATGAGCCGATAATAGATAATAGTGTGAATGCTTTAGTGTTGCTTTTTGTATGGTGGTCCATGACTAAAAAAACTTCGATGAATTGCTATAATAATCAACAAACCCGGACTATTATCACTAATCCGCATAACCCAGTTCCATAATAACAGTAGTTAACTTAATTTTTCAATACCTGTCATAATACATCAACTAGGCCTATAAAGACTTATGGAAAAGGTGTTTAGGCAAGGTCATACAGGCGAATACCATATATGGGATCAGGCCGGATTGTCGAAACCAGTTTACCGGATGCCTGACTGCCAGGTCCACCTTTGCCGAAACCCAGTTTGCCGAATGCTTGTTTGTCGACTCAAAATCCATGAATCCCAGTTTACCGAAACCCAGTTTGCCGAAAGTCAATTCAAAGCAGTAAAACATTGACAACAGCATAAAAATGTGCACTCTTTTACCATGTTTCGTATAATATAGCGGCTTATTGTAATTTAAGGATTCTTGATTAACGCAATTTGGCTACCAGCCAGGAATTAAAGGAATTAAGTAAATTAATAATAATCTACAGTATATACAATTACAGTACCCGTGGTGGCTCCAGAAATTTTCCGACAGGGGTCTGAATCAAAATCCAAAGTTCACAGGAGGGAAAGTTTTTTTAGGGCGCACACGATGCGTTGTTCTTTTCTTTCATTTCAGTTTATTTTAATTATAATTTTAACTGATAACCGTGTGTTTTCTAGAGCATTAATTGTTTCCCAGTATTTTACCTTTTAATTTGTATTTAAATACAGCTCCTCCATAACCTACCCATCATTTTTTTTTCTTTCAAAAGCAGATATGCTGTACATTTGTACGTAGGACGGTGAGACACGATTCGGCAAAACTGGGTTTCAGTAAACTGAGTTTCGGAAAACTGGGTTGTCATCATTTCAGTGAACTGAATTCAGCAAAGTGGGTTTCGGCAAAGTGACCATAGCGGCGACAAACTGAGTTTCGGCAAACTGGATTTCGACACACTGGTCGGATAGGCCTACCCATACGGGTGCCCATCACCATACTCATTTACCGCAGTAGGCCTAATCCTATAGATTTTCACAATTATTTTCTTGAGTAGAATTTAACCGCCACGTACTATCTTAATACAGTGATTTCGAGACCAATTCCGATACCTCTCTAATTCAAGATTACTTTTTTTCAAAGAACGAAAAAAAAAAAATTCAATTTGTTAGACACAAATCTAACGGAAACTAAACCGGAGAGCACCCCGAAATTTTCGGGTCCCAATGGTGGTCTTGATTAAGAAGACGAACTGTACATCTAAACTGATGCTAATACTATAAGTCAATATGTTATTACCTTAGGAAGATTAAAAGGAAATCGTTTGCAATGAACGGTGTTTAAATAATTAAAATAAACTGAAATGAAAGAAAAGAACAACGCATCGTGTGCGCCCTAAAAAAACTCTCCCTCCCGTGAACTTTGGATTTTGATTCAGACCCCTGACGGAAAATTTCTGGAGCCACCACGGGTACTGTAATTGTATATACTGTAGATTATTATTAATTTACTTAATTCCTTTAATTCCTGGCTGGTAGCCAAATTGCGTTAATCAAGAATCCTTAAATTACAATAAGCCGCTATATTATACGAAACACGGTAAAAGAGTGCACATTTTTATGCTGTTGTCAATGTTTTACTGCTTTGAATTGACTTTCGGCAAACTAGGTTTAAATAATCCTATAGATTTCCAGTCATAGATGTAATAGGCCTAACAGTGATCTTATTGTCTGTGTATCCCTTACATTTCTGTCAGCAAATGTAAACATTTTCGTATAGTAAACCTGTAAATCATTGAACTACGGTTTGATAATTTGGCCTTTGTTTTTTGTTTTGTTTTTTTTTTACTACGGTAGGCCTACACTAAAAGTCGTCCCATTATGAATACGTTCTCTTTGAACTTTAGTAAATGAAACCTCCCTCACGAATAGAATGCCAATACAATAAACCATGATGTGTTCGTGTTTTAACTTAACGTCCCCGAAGAATGTATTAAATCGAGCTGAGCTATTTTGGGGAATAATATTTTGATAAATATTTGATAATGTCTTCATGCATTGATTCCATTTGCTTAACTTCCCAGTTATTTGTCATACTTGATAAGGCTGTCAAAAACTACTCAACAAGAGGCATAGGCCGTCAGGGAGGTTCACATGAGGTACTAACCGTATTGCTGTAGGAAGATGACAAAGCCGGATTAGATAAGAAAATAATGTTGAACTTCCCCCCAGGCCTATGAGGCGTATTGGGATGGAATTTCAATTATATAAAACACATGTAGGCCGAAAATTCAATTTGTTTTAGGAACTACTGACATACTGTATGATGATACGTTACTGGCCGTAACGACATTCATGAAGCAGTTGCGAAAATAAATGGGATTGTTAGTCCACTCTTGTCTTTTTTTTTTTTTTTTTTTTTTTTTTTTTTGTCTTAATTGTATTATTGAATGTAATACTATTGTTTAGTGATGTAAATTAATCTGAATCTGTTGTGTGTTTTACTTTTGGTTGTAATATCGGAACCTCATTAGAATGAAAAAAAGCTTTGTTGAGCCTAAAGAACACGTTTTAATCGGGATTTGAACCTAAGAATGTCTAGATTACCGGACACTAGGTATAAATTACTTAAAATTTACACCTGTTTTAATATCTTAGATTGCTAAATTGTGGGAATTATTTCCCGATTTTGTGATAGTCTAACAGTGATAATCTAACAAATTTTCAATTCGCCCTTATAGATTTGTAAACGCTGAGCTGCAATAGGCATCATAGATAGGGCCTATTCATAAATGCGGCGTCGTTTTGTACTCGTTAATTCTAATTATTTAGACATTAAACGATATTTGAATCTGAATCTGAATTTAGGGACAGGCTCGGGGACAGGCTTCTCCACTTTATCGAAGTCTAGCCTAATCCATGACTATAAGGAGTCATCTTCCTTCGCTAGCTTTCTGTATAATTTAACCGGTACACCAAAACCATGTCTATGCCTACCTGTGGATATCCCTTTTTAATGTCCGAACTCATCTTAAGACAATAAATTATAATTATCCAATTTCAGTTATCAGAGATGAGCAGCCGCCGATACCGGTAAAGAGCGCTGAGTGGTTTCTTGTTTAATTTTTCTTTCTGTGGTGTGTGTTGGCTGACAGTGTATTAAAGCACAATGCATCCTGGATGCGCATCCTACAAAAAAAAGGTCATCATGTTAATTAATACTTCATGGTTCAGTGCTCACGATAGGTCATGGTTTACACTGTAGTCGAAAACACAACAAAAAAACAAAGGAAGTCATGGTCGGCCTTGCTTGGCTAAATAGGGCAAGCAATTTACTACAACACAATACAATAGCACAATCCAATGCAGTAGTAACACTCTGGTTTTAAATCATTCTATTGGAATTTATTTTTAGAACAAAATTGTAATGTAAGTGTAAACTGAAATAGGTCCTAGGCTAGTATAGTAAGTAGGCCTAGGCCTAGCCTAGACTAGGCCTATCTAGTAGGCTTACTCAGTACTAGCTAGGCTAGGCCTAGATCTTATCCAGCCTATATCGAAAACACCGTACTACTAGGAGGTAGAAGTTTCAACCCTTTACGCACCAGCGACGAGTGGTGGGCTAGGCTAGGCCTAGCCCTTTTTCGGCGCTAATGCATAAGTTCACCTCATCCTCAAAATCAAACTTCCAAGTTCTATCGTGCTGGGCGTTAGGGCCCTCAGTTGGGCCTAGCTACATCAGGCGATCAAAACTAGGGGACAGGGCTGTGCTTAGACTTTGTCAGAGAAGCCAGTCTACCGATCTACTTTTGCGGAATATCCAAAACTTCAGAGATCATTGTTAAGTTACTGTAATTAAGTGTAGAACTGCGCTAGTATGCCACTGCATAATTATAATATTAATAATACAGGCACGCAGTTGTATATTGCGTTGTAAAGGATCCGATAAAGGTTGTACACTTTGCAGGCATTCAAAAAGGAGGAATTCATTTTACTTACTCAGGCTCCCCCCCCCCCTTCCTATTTTTTTGTTTATTGCCATTATTACGAATTAGGAGACGCTTACTATATAATTTCAAAACAAAATTTAATGACAAGAAAGATCGACGTTTCGGGTCCATCATGGAACCATTCTCAAGATCAAGTAAATTGAAAAAACAAAAATAATTAATTTTACTTTATATATTTATATTATATTCATTCATGATTATTCATTCATTTCAGCTATGGCCTGCAGTGCACCACCAAATTTCAGCTGGGTTGTAGCAAACCGACTAGCTGCCCATGCTCTTCCAGAGACCAAGCAACACCTGCAGTATCTGTTCAACATCGGTGTTTGTCATTTAGTTACCCTGATGAGTGAGGGCATTACTCCACCCATTGAGACCGTACCAGAATTGAAATGGACGAGGATTCCAATTGAAGATTTCACCCCACCATCTATATCTCAAATTGAAACATTTGTTGATATCATTGATTCAGCATCTGGTGTTGGTGAAGTAAGTTGAAATTATTAAAAATATTTTTTTTTTTCTAAAATAATGTAAATAAAATATAAAAAAACTTAGTAAGGGTAAATTTAATAAAGAAATTAGAGTGTGATAACTTAAAGTTATAACAAATTAAAGAGATAAATATTTTTATAATTGTATAAAAAACTGATTTTCAATGTTTCTTTCATATAAAGAGTAATGGCTCCCTTACATTTTTACACTGAAATGTGGAAACCTCTTTTATTAGGCTGTTTCGGTTCACTGTTTCCGTGGAAGGGGAAGAACCGGAACAATGCTGGCTAGTTACCTTGTCAAGGCTGAAGGCATCTCAGCGAATGATGCTATCAAAAAGGTGCGGATGATGAGACCAGGATCAATAGAAACTGCAAGTCAAGAGGACGTAGTTGTGAAGTATTCAGAGTTCCTCAAATCTAAAAATCATACAAGGTATGAATATAATATAGTGTAAAACCTCGAATCTTGAATTGAAGCCCCTCTTTAAGCTAGATTTACACTACACACGATAAAGAAACGACAATGACATATCATCTCGTAGTTTGTATTCTTCAACACTGCACGCATCTGTATCATGTCCTTGTCGTGTCGTAGTGTAATCGTGTAAATGTAGTTTAAGTTTGCAAAAGTAACCTGGAAAAGAAGCCCATCTATAAAAGAACTCCATGGGCTTCTCAAGATTGCATGGGCTTCTTTTCAAGATAGTACACTGGATATGAATTCCAAAGAAATTGAATACTCCATGATATGGACTGAGGTTATAGTGGTCCTATATATTGTTTTATAGTAGTAATTTCCAAAATTCACAGCATTCATTTTGAAAAGAAGCCAACTGTTTACTTTGCAAAAGTAGCCTTGAAAAGAAGCCCATCTCGAAAAGAAGCATATCCAAAATTTGCAAAGGAAAAGAAGCCCAGGTCTTCTATTTGATTTTTTACTGTAGTAGAATTAGGAATCACCTGAAAGGGTCATGGATGTTGTGAAAGTATTATTTATTTCATTATTGTTTCATTATTTATTCTTTCTTTTAAACATATTAAACAAATTTAAAAAAATAAAAATTTGGGCAGACAGGTCAACTGAAGTGAACCATATCACTGTAGCCAGTTGACCCAACCCCACAGTAGACAATTTCATCTTATTTTCTTAATGAGAAAATTCATTTTTAAGGATATGTTTAATTTCTTATTTAATTCTTACTGTATGGCTGTTGCAATAACCTGCATATTTTATTTTTAGTTATATTAGTTTTAAGTGGTAATGTTTGTATTATTTTTTTATATTTTATATTTTAATTCTAATTTACTGTAAATTGGTAGTTAAGATGTTTTCAGTAATTTGTTTTGTTACATGTTGAGGGTCCCTAATTATCAGCTTCTGCTGGTTGGTTCACCCTCATGAAATATGGTTCAAATAGAATAAAATAAAAAAAATCTTATAAGGTACACTCATCTATCTGCTTGCGGTGCCATTTCCACTTGCAGAGGGCATGTTTTCTGCATTTTTTAACAATTTATTATTTTTACTAATTTCTGATTCATCTTCATCATGTATAGACAACAGAGCTCTTTTGGGAAAAAGGGCAAAACTCTCTGAGAGTTGTAGCCCATTTACAGGGTTTTAACTGTAGAAAAATAAGGGTGCCTGAATAATATTGGTAAAGAGTGGATTTAAGTGTTTAACATAACTACATCCATAATTTATCGTATGTACATAATAATAATAATAATAATAATAATAATAATAATCAGCATCATCATCATCATCATCATCATCTTTTCATTTCATTTGATTTATCTGCATCTCTGACAAATAAAATTTACAACAATTTGACAGTTGAATATTTAAAATAAAAGAAAGGGATTACGCGACAAAAATTTAAAATTCATGAAAATCATAATCATAATCACCATAATTATTTAATACCGCAATGCTTTGTTATAATAATAATAATAATAATAATAATAGTAATATGTGGACATATAATGCTCATACCAGTACATATTAGTATCAATATTGTTGCAACGAAAAAGCTAAATGTGAATACTGCCCTGTACATTTTAATAATTCAATCCATGTTATTTAGGCTTTCAGATTCCAGAGATAAGGTTCCTCCATACTTCTCATGGGTTGTTCCTAGCCTCCTTGCAGCACATGCCTTCCCATCGGAACCTTCACACCTGAGATACCTGAGTTCTGTCGGTATACATCACATGATCTCGGTAGCCACCGAGCAGCGGCCAGATATAGAACAGTGTCCAGGTATGCAGTGGACGTCAATTGGAGTGGACGATTTTGAAGCACCAAATTTAGACCAAGTTAAACAGTTTATAGATATTGTTGAAGATGCTCAACAAAAGCAAGAGGTAAGATAAAATAAAGACCTGATGATGATTAATAATGATAATAAAAGTTGTAATAATGATTATTAACTAAGTATTTTACCATGAATTTTAAAGATATACTCTGTAATATATTATGAACATAAAGTAGGGTATTGTATCTTTGTATGTATTATGTATGTATGTCACAATTATTGTATGTATGAATATTAGGAGCTTTGAATGACCAATGCAAAGGCATATATATGCTTTTACAAAATTTAAAAATAGTGCCTAGCAAAATGAAATATTTCTTTGAAAATTGAATTGTTTTTTTCCTGCGGTTTTGGTTCTGGCTTAACTTGGAACTTTCATCTTTTTTTTTTGCTTTCCAGACATCGCTACACTACTTTTTAAAAAGCACATAGAGGCTTTGTATTTTGCGCTTTATAAATTTAAAACCATAAACTGATAACCATTATGTAAAATTGCTGTTTAATTAAATGTGTAGAAAGAGACAGGTGTTAATCATTTTCTTTTGATTGAGCATTGATGTCTTGTTTTGTTTTTCGTTTCTAAATAGGTCTTGTCCGTCCATTGTCAACGTGGCTGTGGAAGGACCGGTTCTTTACTTGCTTGCTATTTCGTTAAGACATATTGCCTGAGACCTGAAAAAGCGATTGAGAAAATACGAGAATTACGACATGGGTCAATAGAAACTGATGAACAGCAAAAAATAGTCCATGAATACTTTGAACAGCTGAATGATTGACATCTAGGCTAATAATAACCAATTACAACAGAGACTTGGCAGGATATTTTTTTTTTATTTTTTATTGGCAAAACAATTGTTATACTGGATCAACATTTAGTTTTTATGGTTACTGCTTTTTTTTTTACCTTCATTGTAGGTTACAGGGTTTTTTAATGCACATGTAAAGAAATGAACATTAATTTATAGTTTAGGTTTCTTTTTTATATCTGAACCATATTTATAGAGAGTAACCCTTCCAAAACTGAGGTCAAAAGAAGAAATTATAAAAAACCGACACAATTAAACAATACAATACAGAATGATACATAACTGAACCTTGGTGAAAAAAAATACTAACATGGTAAAGGTCTACTTTGCATATTAAATTCACTCCTCAAATGTTTATTATAGAAGAGTTAAACAACTGTATATCAATAAATATTATCAATAATAATTATAATACAGTACTGTAATAATAATGATAATAATGCAAATTAAATTAATGCTCATCATGACATAATTGCAATAACAAATATATTTGATACAATAAAAAATATTATAAATAATAATAATAATAATAAATTATTATATAATCTTGTAAATGAACATATTTATTCATCTTGAAAATATTCTAATGTAAAAAATGGTTTATTTTAATGCTAAAGTTGAATGTTGAAGTTGCATTATGTTTGACAACCTACCCATAATTGTATTAAAAAAAATATATATACACTTACCAAATTTTTAACAGATTTTATTGACAGTACAGTGTTTAATGTAAATCTACATTATTTACCCAATTTCCCATGAATATGTAGTTTCTTTACAAATCATTTTGATATTTATACAGTATGTTTAAGTCAATCTTGCTGTGTCATCCGACGTTCATAGAGCCCGTGTCTGCTGTCTGTGAGTACTTGACGACGCAACGTTGTCTGCTGATTGTTGGTGGGAGGCTGAGTGATTCATAATTTTTAAAAAAACGATTCATTGCTCACATGTCACTGCTGTTGCATTTTATTTGTAATCACATTGGCCAACGACCGTTGATGCAATGTGTGCCCACCTTTATAAATTTATGTTTCAAGTTTCTTTTAAATAATACTTTCACTATATTTATACAGTATTGTTATTACTATTAATAATATTTAATTAATACTGTTATATTCATTAGTATTATTATAGTTCTACATTTCATTTACATATCAAGCTATTACCAATTAAGCTGTATTTATTTAGGGACTAAGATTATTTTAGGAGTTGATGTTTTTGCCCTACCTGACGTGTTATCGTACTGAATACTCAGTTCTTTCACAAATACTTGCAAAAAAAAACGAAAGTGATTCGAACCCACGACCTCCAGATAACTAGCCTGGTGTCAAAACAACTAGACCACAGAGTTTCCGTTTAGTAACTGGTGTTGAACCCGTTTCACAAGAAGCAGTGGGTTCACGTCAAGTAGGGCAATAACATCACCCTGTGATATTTTTCTGACAAACATCAAAGTAACATTATTTTGTTACATTATTTGACACATCCTGGTCAAGTATCATTATCTATTGGACAATTAAGCTTCCACCAATATGCTGTTTTAATGTAATAACTTAATTTATTGATAGAACATTAAAGGCCTTTTTTTACAGGGCACTTACTTTATATAGTTTATTTCTGTTTGGAGTTTGAGTACTAGGCTTGATACGGTGCACTCTGACGAGAACACGTCAAAAGTGTAGGGGGCGCTACATGACTTGTGCCGGCTTTTAAAAATGTTGGTAGTTCAAAGTCTGTTCATAGTCTACAGTACAGTATCTGTAATATTAGTTTCGATTAAAATTGACACTTACTTTGACTTTGAATTTTTGTTTGTAGGTTTTTACATTCTATGTCACTGGTATTTAAACTATGGGTCTCTACTTCAAATAGTGTGGCCAAAATATTTTGTGTAGGGTCGCCGGGCGATTATATAAAATAAATTTTGTTAGTACCCTAAGCCATCTCTTGATTCAGTATTTTGAACTTTATTGTCATTTTGTTCATTAGTACTCTAAGCCTGTTTAGCTGATAGGATCTCTCATTTTACTGACATTAATAGTGTTAACTTCCCTTTGGTATCCGACACAAGAAAGTGCATTCTATTAATAAGCAAGTTATTTTTAGCGCATTATTTCAAAAAGACCTGTTTTTAATTGATTAATTTTTATTTCATCAAGGGAGAAAACAAATTCTATGTAATTTGTGTGACCATAAGTCGTCTAAATATTCCTTTTAAAACTCTGAATTCTAGGAGCTTCCGCCTCCTGGCTTTACCATCAAGGGTGTCAGGGTGGCCTCTGGCCCCACCCACTTATCGCTCCCGTTGGCGACGGATGGTGAGTCGTCAAGTGAAGCCTAGTTTCCTTAATATCGCTACACTGTCGCTACAGTGTTGTCAGAGCAATCGTTGTACTGCGCAACAGTACCCAACGCAATCTTAAAGGTTATCTGATTAGAACGCGACCAATCAGCATCACTGAAAGCTGTGGCAATAGCGTGTAGCGATGGTATGCAAACCGAGCCTGAGCTTGGTTTGCATACAATCGCTACACGTATCATTCCTGTTATACTACAGTATAAACTAAAAAAGAAAAAATAAAAAAATAAAAATCCTGTAACCTTTTATTAATAAATTAAAAATATTTTTTATTTACTAATGTATTTTCCTTCACGTGTTCGTGATACTGCAATGTATTACATGCCCATATGCCCATGATCTTTACAAAGGGTTTCTCCGTTGAACGTTTTCTCCTGAATGCTGACTGTTATTGACGACAGTGCTCCCACTACAATGGTAAGATGTTTTAAATGAACAAGTTTACTGCCCTTTAGATATTACCGTACTTCCGTATAAATGACATCTACTGATCTCTTGGTGTTGGATATTATCTCAAAACTGTGAGGTGTTCGTGTTACTTCAATCTTGCCGCACAAGTTGGGTTCTGGTGCGTTCTCTGGTCGTCTGAAGCTGAAACGCATCATGAGGTTTGTAAAGAATAATACAGCTCCATCTTAGCCAACTGTTCTACAAGACACGACGCAGGTCCCCCCAAAAAAATCTATTTCTTCGGTTATCCGTTCCTCGAAGCTCGTTTTCCCTATACCGAAGCTGCGAAGCGCCGCTGAGCAAAATGCCGCTGCTCTTTTTGGTCATTTTCGTGATACACTCCAAGGACACCCTGTGGTAAACAATAAAAAGAATTACGGTATTTTATGATTTTTTTTTCTGGCTTATTTATAAGAAACGGAAATACAATATATTGTGAGGACTATAGTGACTATAGGTTTGTTATGGCACTAATGCACTGTGCTGTCTGATGACATTGGTTTTAACGGTGAAGGGTCCCAGCGGCTATGATCACTGGCAATTTAGCCCCTCTTAACAAATTCATGTTAAATTTGACCTCACGTTTGGGAATTAGGCTCCCAGGTCAAAATGCTTAGGGAATGTAGTTCCAGAAGCCTAAATAAATAGAGATTGTGAAAGGAAAATACCATCGAAGGATGTACTGGGTGTCTTTTAATTGCACACGAGACAAATGCCTACACTGGTTCTGCTGTTTAATGTCCCCATCCCCATAAAGACTTCCACCACCGGAACCATTGGCGAGTGAGCCGTTTGAACCAGCGCCGATATTATAGCTGAAGGTTACGGAGCACCTGACTGAACTGCTCGGGGTAATCAACTCGCCCAATCGTTTAGTTCTGTTGTCAATCCGGTAGAAAAAAGGGGGGGGGCGGGGTGGGACGTGGTGCTCATGGTAAATTAAAGGTTAAATGTTTATGTTGTAATAATAGCCATCAATATGCTCCGTTTCTATTTTTGCGTCATACTTAATATTAGATATAATATTTTGCAGCACCCCTTTTCGAAATCATCTTTACACCACTGTGATATTATGATATATTTGAACTCACCTCGTCCCTTATAGTACTGTTTGCTATGTCAGAAATTTGGCTCGACCAGCTGGATTTTTGTGCCAAAATGGATTTTATTGGCTAACTTTGTCATTTTTGGTGTGCAGAATTCAAAATAGTTATGTACCATTTGTTTTTATCCACGTCATCAGCTGCCATTTTGAATTTCAAAATAACCGACGCACCACTTACACCATGCTCATGTTTATGTCAATGGAAAGGGAATTAAGCGCTGATCATTTAATTCCATTACACTTATATGGAATAATATAGGCCAATTAATAAAGTCACATGACAAAGGTCATGACAAGAAATCAAAATCAAACTCGCCAAAAGTTGTCGTGTTTGGTATCATTGCAAAGCTCTTCTGATGCTAAATAATGTTCTACAGTACACATAATTATATCAGCAACGGTGTAGTTTTTCATATATTTATATAATTATGGCATACCGTATTAAAATAAACAGGACCCAATTGCGTAAAGCTTGTTCGGAGGGGGCCTCCAACTACTACCACCTTACTACCGAGCCTTAACAGTGGCGTAACGCATGTGTTTTCAGGGCCAGTGTCCGAGTAGAAATAGGCCCCAGAGGCCACGGGGACCTTCTTACTTCTGTACCACCCATCACTCTACATCTTTGACAATACGGAAACTTTTCTATAATTTTCAAAAAACCCAAATAGGCCAGAATGCCACAAACACACTCAATGGCAGATTTATATAGTAATTTACTATGGAGGTTCGACCACTTATGAAACACCTGTGTGCTTTCTGGGGAAATGCTTAGTTCCTCCAATTCAAAATGAGTCCCAGAGAGGCAGGACCCCACTTACTACTACAGAGAAATCTACTACGACGTTTTGACATGGTACTATTTCCTTATTTAAACAATAAATGAAGTTGGTTACCCAAACATATTTTTATTATTATTTTCAAACAATAGACAAATCTGAAGAAAAAGTGATCCAGAAGTTGTAGGCCTACAATTATTATGGGGAAAGTAAATTTTTGTCCATCCTTGATTTTTCATATTGTTCATAGTCCACAAATAAGTACTTACACTATGTAGAACCATGGAGGAATGGTAGAATCATCAATATATAGGAAATCACAACAAATCTGCCTACGCACCATGAAAGTAGTCGTCGTCTTTTTGACGCAGTCAGAACATTTTTGCAAAGTGCTGTGCATTGCAAGTTGTTTTTTATGCATTTAAGTCGACATCAACACTTTACAAGTTAAAGAACAGAATTAGGCACAAGTTCAGTG